CCCCAAAACCCCAAAACCCCAAAACCCCAAAACCCCATCATGTAGTTAAATTTTTGAAATATTTTATTTGATCGTCACTTATCAATGGAGAATTTGAGTAAAGAACTCCAAAAGATTAATGATTCCATGCCTGAAGATTCCTTGGAAAAAGCTGAGATATTGAGCCAGGAGCGGCTTTCAAGAGTAGTCAGTAATTCTCATATTCAGTCACCCAAGGCTAACGCCTTGGTTTCTGATATGATGAGCTCATCGAAGGAGAGAAACGCAATGCAGAGAGCTGCAAAAAGTTCAATTGGAATATACTCTCCTTTTAAGAATAAAGGTAGTCTTCTAATGTATTTTAACACATTTTGCTGTTCTTTTAAGCAATGCTTTAACTTGTTAATATTTTGTAATTTAAATTATTTAGTTCCAAAAAGTAGCCTAAATGGTTTTGAGGCAAGTTTTGGCAAACAGGCCTCACCATATGTCCCTTCTAAGAGAAGGAAAAGCTCTGTGAAGGGACCAGAATTCGGCTCTAAGCGTACAGGGAAGAGAGCTCAAAAGATCACAGGGATAACTACTCATGAGGATCGGAGTAGTTCAGCTATAAGCATTAGAGATATCACGCCAGAGATGGCTGCTCAGGTAGTGAAAAATTATTTATTGCCAATGTTTGATGGCAACAAGAACGGATATTCTAAAACAAAGACTCGGATAAGTAAAAACGAAGACATTTCTGATGATCCTAACTTTAAGCCTAAGACAATTTATGGGGAGCTAAAGCTGTCGGAAAGATTATCCTCTCAACTTGAAGCTGTCAAGCTTGAACTGAAGCAGACTCAGGAGCGGCTAGATAATAAGATCAAAGACTATGGTGACCTGAAGCAGAAGTTTTCGAATTTGAAATAAGGTGAATCGCACTTTGTCAATGAAACAATCAATTTACGAAAAACAAATAGAAAGCTTCAGTAAGTTTAGAAAGTTATTACTTAGAAAACTTCAAACAAGTGACTGAGAAGGAGCAGATGAACTCCAAAGTCAAGATCATGCAACTTGAGAAGATGCTCAAAGAGAACGAGACAAAGATGACTAACTTCTGACAATCATTACAGAAGGAAAAGGTGTTCAATGAGAAATTAAAATAATCAGCTAATTGAGTTCAAGCATACCAAATCTTTGTCTAAGATGGAAACCGATATCCTTGGAACGAGGCTTGCAATTTTGAACAACTCCATTAGATCTCTGGGAACTGCAAAGGAGGCAGAAGAGCGGAACACAATGATCATCACCCAGCTAAAGTCAGATCTTGACAACAAGATTAAGGATTATGAAAGGACTGAGAAAAAGGTCTCTGATCTTCTATCAGACCATAAGGACTTATATTCTAAACTAGAAAGCATGAATGAAGCAAGGAAGAAAGCTAATGAGGAGAAGACTAAATTCCTGAAGGATAGCAAGAACAGCATCAATAACCTTGAACAAGACCTTAAGAAAGTCAGGGCGGAGAACCGAGAACAAAAGGAAGAAATTGCCTCGCTTAAGAAGACCATAAAGGTAGAAATTGAAGAAAAGAACCTCCTCAGAAATAGGATTAATGACATGAAATCAAAGAGAAACATAAATTTGAAGAAGAAGATATGTTATAAGTGTAACCAAGATTTCTCAGAGAAGGAGAACTTCAAATGGTCTTGTGTCACACATTCAAGAGAATGGAGTGGCAAAATGTGGTGGTGCTGTGGAAGTACAGATAATCTCAACAAAGGATGTGTCAAAGACTACCACGTCTCGAAATCATACAATGATACAGATAAATTGAACAACAGAGAAACAGAAATGCAGCTGAAGACACAATGAAGATGATGTAAGCAGAAGGGGCATTCAACTCAGAACTGACCTCTGGACCCAAATTACAGATCTAATCACTCTATCTCAGATGAATATGCCAGAATTCTAGGTCTGAAGGATGTTGAGACTAAGAAGTTCGCCAAAGATAGTTTGAAAGACACTAAGAAATACCTAGAAAATATAATTGCTCAAAAGAGTGAAAACCCGTTCAAAAGAGGAGTCCTGGCATTTGACGACTACAATTACACATATTATAACAAAGAAATTCTGCCTGAGATGGAAGAACTGATGGAAGACGAATCTGACCTCAACTCCAGTGTGGCCAAGTCCAACCTCGAGGAGGGCGAAGGAGAGAGTGAAGATGAGAAGGATAAGGATAAAGATGCAGGTTCAAAGAAGAAATCCAAACCTGAAATCCAACGCAAGAATTCTCAAGGCGAGGAAGAAGACCCCTTCACTTTGGATGAGCTTAAGAAAATTCAGAAATATCAACAGGAAGATTTGTTCGAGGATGTGCTTGAGATAAAGACTTCGGCAAGGCTTGAGTTTTTATCATTAAAACCATTGTTTTCACTAAAGGAGCAGATTGAGGATGCTGACCCTCCGAGCAGTCTGAATAGGAAGAGCACAGTGATGTCAAACAGCCGAAGAGGAGATGAACAAGAAGTTGGCCTTTCTAATATTCCGAATCAAAAATTTGGAAAGGAGCTAGGAGCTGAAGAGGTAAGCTCTATTGAAGATTCTATGCGGAGGGATTTGGATCACAACCTTGATGTCACTGCTCCAATTGGGAAAATTGATAATTCTTACTCCCATTTGATGAAGGACCATAATGGAACTGATAATGACTACACAGATAATGATGACTTAAACGAGACTCAAAGACACATGACGACTAATATGAATGAAGCTAATCCCAAGAATGTAGCTGGGGCACTTGCTCCTTCTTATATTGCATCTGTTTTAGGCCGTAAGTACTGACATTGTTATTATCCACTATCTTTGTAGAGAAAGATGCATCAATTCCAAAGAAAATGTCAAAGAGAAGCAAAACTAAGCATTTGGTGAGTGACAAGAGTAGAACTACAATGACAAAGAATATCAGCAGGTAAGTATTTCTCTTAAGAATGGATTAATAAATTAGTGAGGTCAAGCCAAATGCTTCTGGTAATTTAATGAAGACTCCAGAGCTTGGCCCTGCCACTAATCTTGGAAGCAGGAGATTTGGATCCTTATTTGAGAACATGTATCTTGATGAAGCAGAATTTGCGAACGTCGGTAGGCAAAGGTCACTACTAATTTCTAAAGATGAAGACATTCATAAATAAATGCTAATTTTTATACTAAGCTAGATCAGTAGTTCTGGAATTCTTTGGGGTTTTGGGGTTTTGGGGTTTTGGGGTTTTGGGG